TAGCAATAGTTGACACCACAGCTGCCCCTGCTCTGCATACGGTCAATAGTATTCTTGCTCGTTGTGTAGCTCTTTGAAATAATTATACCGATTAATAATGAAGATTTTCACACTGACATATTCCATACAATAGGTGAGATAAATACAGGAAACGCAAAGTTCCATGCCCACAGTTTCAGTTCGATTTACACAGCTTTGATCAAAACATTTTCAGTTTCGAGAATAGTTTATACTAAACCACAAGAAGAGATTTAATTAGAAGTTGAATTTTTCGTTATTTCTCTTTCACTTTTTACATTCAGTTCATTTTATTTGCCGGAAAGTAAGCCTTAGAAATTAAAGGGACGTTTGATCCAATTCACGCTCGCGCATTCTAGTCTTTAAACTTTATAGCGGAAAGACATCTGTCAGTAGGGAATAAGTCAGCACAGAATTTAATTGTCGGCGAATTTCTGTAATCGTCCATCGTTCTGCCTTGGTTCTGCTAGCGATAAGCTAGCCGTTGCGTTCACTCGTCTTGCTTGTTTGGGGCTGAGTCTTATTCCGGTCAAAGGGAGAGAAAGAGTGTCTGGTAAGGTTCCAATCAAAGATTTGTGAACTCGTGTCTGGCAAACTCTCCAAGTGTTTATATATACACAGTTATACGCACCTTATAACTTCATCTACGCTTAACGAGTGTCTTTTGGTCCATAACTTTCAAAACAACTGCTCCACAGAATGTCACTGATAACACGTAGCGCAAACGAGTATCGAAATATGCCTGCACAATAAATGTCACAAAATCTACCTAAGCGGTCCCTTTGAGATTTTCTGTCATCCTAACCATTTCGTACTTGCGGGCGCAAACAATAGAAACGTCATCATTACCTACCGATTCCTCGCGGCCCCTGTTCAAGCAAATCGAGAGTTTTTCTGGCATACTGACTGTATATTTCAACTGTAAGTACCTTCCTTAATATACGTGCGAGTTAGTAGAGTGCCTCGTGTCTAATCGGGATTTCGCTTTCGAAGCGACATCGGTGCGGGGGGAAATAATGTTCAACCAATATCGATTCTTTCTATCTTTGCTTAGACCAATATCTCTGTGATCACTCGACTGTCCCTGTCACGCAAAAACCCAACCGCAAAAAAGGGGGCGCAGATACCTATATGACTTTCGGTGAACCCCCGGGAGGTAATTATTATTCCTATGTAAATTATCACAGAATAGCCCCCCGGGAGAGGTAATAAAGTTATTGTACTGTTAGTATTGAATAGGCGACTGCCTTCAAAATAAGTCTGCGAGAATGCCTATAACTTCAATTTCTTTATCTGGTGTTGCGTAATATCAACTCATCAGTTGTCGATATATGCACTTATTTACCTTAAATCGGTCTGTTTGTAAATGAACATACTGATCCCGCTTTTAAAGACGTATCAAAGATTTATTACAATATTGACCACTACAGAAAATACCATAACTGACATACCATAATACTCTTTGTTGGTCACTCCAACATTGTCTTCAGCTTCTCTTGGGGTAGTTAAAATGGCCCCAAGAGAGGTGTCATGTAGCAGCTGCTAGCTGCTCGGACGAGAAGTCACCAATGATGCGTTTCCCTGACCCTAAACAACACTAAAACAATTGGAAGAATTACATGTCATTGTTTCCTGCGACCAATTAGGACAGACCTTCCGAGCAGCTCCTACAGTAGAAACTGAAAACAATGCTTATGTAAAATTTTGGAGTGACCAACAAAGAGTATTATGGTATGTTATGGCATTTTCTTTTGACCCAGTGCAAAAGTTGTCCCTAGAATGTAGTTTCAGGCGTTCGGCTGGCCCGGTGAGATTTAGAGACTTAGAACAATCCAGAATAAACCTGAGGCATAATACTGATATGTTATCAAAACATTCAGCATTGTCTGGGTTCTTTGAATAGAGAAGTTATCAGTTTAGTCAAAGTCGTGCAACACTTGAATAGTTTTGCACATAATTTTCATGCCAGGCATGAAGTAACACGTTAATTACTCACGCAAAAAGGAAAAAATGACGAAGAATGAATAATCAGTGACTCGTAAAACACTGAAAAGAAAGCTTTGTACTGTAGCCGGAAAAAAATTAGTCGCTAATTGAATTCCTTGATATTGTCAGTACAGTAGACCAAGACTGATTTGTCAGCATATTTTTCTTTGATATGCAGTAAATGCCCTTAATGAACTTTCCATTTCATTTTGCTGTTGGTACGTTCCCCGGGGGACATTCCCTGGGGTATCCGTTTTTCCGTAAGAATCGTTGAAAGTCCCGGACTGAATTTCCCAATGACAATACCAGCTTCTGCATTAATAAGTTTACGAGCTACCCGGTTGCATAAGCGCATTTTCTATTGATCAACCAAGGCAGAAATATTCAAGGCGACTGTAAAGACTGAGAAAACAGCTGATATTTTGCGACATCAACCGCGTGTACATTCTGATGATATGACGGAAGGCTGGGACATCACTGGTTGCGTTGGTGAAATATCGGCTGTTTTCTCACGCAAGGGACTCTCCCTGCCTTGCCAAAGTAAGGGGAGTCGCACCAAATGTAAATATTCATTAGCTGTTGGATCATCTGAGCTATATAAGCGGTACCGTTGGTGAGACGATACACGGAAGTTATCTTAGGTGCGTACGACGTATCACAGTTGGTCCTACGATAACCAAAGTCTTTTTTACCGATATTCACAAAATATGTTGACAGCTAAGACATTTCAGTTCGCGCTTACACTACTCACCGTCACTTTAAGAGGTAAGTACATCCGATTGCTACTACGTGTTTACAAAGAAGGCGTTTGTTTTTGTGGCACAAATGGAATTCAACCCCGGGGGGGGGACTCCCATATGAAACAGACGGGGATGCTCGTCGTCTCGCTTAGGGGTGTAAATTTTGGATTTTGGTCTCGCTTAGGGTGTTCCGGGCAAAACGCCAATATTTTAAGCCGCCAGGGTCTCGTTTAGGGTTCCGCGAAGAAACACAGAATTACGCGAAGAGAAACAGAAGTCAAATTTTCTTTTTAACTTGTTTTGTTTACCGCATTACCTCTGTGATTATAAATCAAGTGCCAAAGAGACAATGCATGAACATGATGAAGAACTTGAGATTTATGACAATGCTTTTAAGAACTACTTTTAGATAAAAGCATTCGATGATTATGTCTTTATATCATTAAAACTCATTGCATGTCATATTTGTGTGTTTTTAAGCGGTATCCTTTAGGGGTCAAAATTTGCTTAAGCCACGCCCAGATTGGTCTCCCTTAGGGGTCGCAAAAGCTTGAACCACGCCCAGATGGTCTCCTTTAGGGGTTAAATTCAAAATTTCCGACGAGCATCCCCGTCTGTTTCATATGGGAGTCCCCCCCCCCGGGAATTCAACTAGTTGTTTCAGTTTCTAAAACATCGACGTTTGATACTTGAAGAAGTTATCTAAGGTAAATAAGATCCGCTACACCGGGAATCGCGCATCAAAACGCGCTTAAAAACGGCTGCTTGCTGTAGAAAACAGGGCCCTACAAAATAACTGCATTATGGAACGTTCTGCCGGATAACTAAGCAGTCCTTACAAGAACACCTATTAAAGAAAGGAAACGCGACATTTAAATGCTATACAGATGCAATCTAATCTTTTGGTACTCACTATTGCCTTGCGGAGATCAGAGCGATTGCCTTCTTTCGTGAAAATAAAAGAGATAATGGTGAAAATGTTTTATCGCAATCGCTTTATCCCATCCGTACTATAACTTAATAAATAGAATCGGCAAACTTTCATTTCTAATAAGAACTAAAAAAAACCCTGTTATACTAACAGTCTAAAACAAATATTACGCCAGAATTAGAGGTCAATCCAAAATTTCCCTCTTTAAATATCTAGCATTCAGTGATTTGACAGGAAAAGAATGAAATCGTTATTTCAGATGATAAACATCTCTCATTAAATTTCATCAGATCTCTTTAGCAATTGTTTGATTAGGTGAGTTTCTGGTGTTATTTACTATTGACTTTTTTTTGACAATTTCGACTCAATCACTGCTATCAACGAACATCTGCCTCAAATCGAAGACGCTCACAGCCCAAAGAAAACTAAAACTCCCTTTTAAAAAGCCCTAAATTTAGGGAAGTCTTTAAAAGAAAAAAAAACAAGATGCAAATTGGTGATTAACGCTTGAAAAAAGAGTAGGACATGTACATCTCTTCACTCTGCAAGCACGTTGCAAAACAAAGTAATCCAGTTCTATCCTACTGAATACAAAGCAATCCGATGTGATGAACTTCCAAGGCGAGGAAGTATAAAGAATGCTTGTTGTAACATTGAACAAACAGTTTTTGATCCAAGATTGGTTGAAGACTCAAAATAAATTAATAACATTCTTCAACCAGGGAGGTGCGCGGGTATGGTATTTACGCACGAGTTGTGACAGAAACAACGAGGGGGTGAATACCGTACATTAAGTACTTTCCATGTGGTATTGTGTTTACTTTTTCTACATACTGAGACATCCCTCATCCTATCAGCCTAGTAGTTTTAATTTTTCCAAAGTGCTAAAATGGTAGAATTTCAGTGCTGCTACACATCACGAAATAACATCACCAAAGACGAAAACGACGTCGCCTTTCAAAGACTGTTATAAGGCTTATAGAAATATAAGCTAATAAAGGAAGTAGAAGTAGCCTTAATTCTTAATTTACACTTGACAATTTTATGCCAATGGAAATTGAATGAATTTGAGCGAAATGGCCGGTTTGAATATAAAGCTTAACAGAGGACAAAATAGCGCTTATTAAAAGTACAACCCAAGCTAAACACTTTTCCCCTTTCCAAGCAAGTTCTCTACAATTCTCCTCGTATATCTTTTTTGATTATACGAAGAATTACATCCGTATACCGCATAACACTACAGTTACCTTTGTCTAATTATCTTTTATTTGCAAATTATTCCCTTTCTCCTGACTTCTTTTTCTTTAGGTGCTCGTGCTGTAGACATGAATGTTTGCCCAAAAGAAAGGGTCAAATTGTATTGTCCTCCCCTTGAGCCAGCCATCAAGAGCGGAGATTACAGAGAACTCATCTGGAAAGTCGCCGACCCTCGTGACAAATCTGATTCTGAGCGAAAACTGGGTTATTGCGACGAAAATCTCAGCTGTGCCACATATAATTCCCTGGGAAACCTTGAAAAACGTATCACGATCAGAACTGATCCTGTAAATGGGACATTGTACGTGGAGCAGCTGATCAAGGACGACATGCTTACTTTTACATGCTCTGTACAAAGAAAACAGAACAAAGACCCACTTGTTTATCAAGCGAATGTTTCCTCTTCCGTTCATTGTGAGTAGAATTTGAACGATTACAGTATTTGTGTTTATTTTTGTCAGTATTCTTTTTATTATATCTCTCAGTTAGTACGCGCGCTGTACTCTCGTTTTTCCGCTAAGATTTATGGCCCGAGCGCAATCAATGAACTCGGTCCGTATTTTACAATACTTGTCTCGAATTCGGGTACGAAGACGTTTGAACTCCTACAGATGCTTGCCAAAAGTGTTTCAAAATACACGCTGAAAAAGAAGGAAAACCAGACATTTCGAGGGTGCTATCTCCTCTTCGTTTTCGCCTTTAAACCACTGACGAAGAGGGAGCAACCTCGAAATGTATAGCTTTCCTCCTTTTTTCAACGCGTATTTTCAAAAACTTTGACATTCACTCGATTATTTGCGTTGCACAGCTTCTTCTAATTATCGCACAAAGGGCACCCGCCCTCATCACCTTCTCGGGCGCCCTTATTCCCCTTTTCCCTTCCCCTTCAAAAGCCTGTCACGCAGGTAACGTACTCCTACAGATGGATGCCAAATATTTCCTAGTTTGCGTGTTGGGCGCACGGCATTGTCACAGCCTGTTTGGTAGGCGTTTGAAGAGAAAGGGAGTATACAAAAGGGCTTGCGCGTCTTCATTCCCCTATTTCTTCGCCTTCAAACACCCGCAACGTACATTAGAAGGGTCAGCGACAACCTATAGTAGCTTTTTAAGCAGTCTCCCAATTATCATACAAAAAGTACCCTCGCCATAGTGTACCGTTCAAACATTTTAAAAACAAAATTTCAGACAAAAAGGGGAACCAATGACCTCCCCGCTAAATGTGCCAAACGTCAAAGTCAAAGGCTGTTCAAATGAATGAGTGCGTCTGTACATTGATTAAGGTATAATTTTCGTTCATCCCTTTTTAGGCCTGACTTTATTTGCCAACCAAGACGTTAACCTCAACGAGGCACTTGAAGAAGAAATGGCATTGATTGGTAGCATTCAAGATATCTGGTGGTATTGGATCAAACTTGATGGAGAAAAGAAGAAGATTGCATATTGTAACCCTGAGTTATGCGTGTTCGACAATTGCTATAACAGTACCTGCCAATCAAGGCTTAGGATTAAAGGAGCGACACTGGAATTGACGAACGTTAGGAAAGAGGACCGTGGGTTGCAATTACAGTGTCAGATGTTCCCTAAATTTAAGGGCAGAATGGCTAGTGAACGTACTGCTCAGTTCTACTCGATAAAAATCAGTGCTGTGATACCAAAAGGTCAGTCTACTAGCTTATTTCACAGATCGTGGGTAAATGTTTACTTCTTAATGTGCGAGCTCAGACAGCCTAACTTGCAGGAATTATTCTATTCTTTTCACCCTTAGTAATGTGTTTTGTTATGAGTATGCCTCCAAAGAAAACAAATCTAGTTGCTAAACTATGCTTGGGGTAAATTTAACACCGCAGAATTTTTTCCGACGTAAGCTTAACCCAAGATCCTTTCCGGTAAAGACAAAATACTCTCGATAGTATATTGCATGAAAAAGTGGACTCAATTTTCGAATTTTAGAATTGGACTAAGGAAACGAACATATTGTTCGTAATACGAAAACATGTTTTAGTTAGTTTTGTTACTAGCTTATCGGTCATTCCAATCAATTTCTATATGAACATAATCGGTCCAGTTAATTAACTAAGATATAACTGAGTCATTGTTTTTAAGTATCTTACGCCGCCGGCATTCAAGTCTGAACAACTTTTTGTTCTTTTTTCTTTCGTTGACCCAGACTCCCTTAGCAGCACAAGTATTGCAAAGAATGCAAAGATGCCTTTTAAGTATTCTGAGATGCCACACAAAAGATCTAGCAAAAACTTACCTGGAGCCTATGGTACACGATCTTCGGCAAGTGGAAGGACATTATTAGCGTTTACTTCAGGTCTGATGGGTTGGACTTTAGCAGTTTTTGAGAATTCTTAACAATTTTCCTCCTTGTGGATTCCTGGTAGCCATGCTGTCGATTTCTTACTGATTATTCGATCGCATGATACCTTGGAAACAACTAAAGAATTATTTTTTGTAGGGATAATGTGACTGATTTTAAAAGTCCACAAAGAAACTTCCGAGTTATTCATCCAAACAGCCCAGTTCGTCTTTAGAGGTAAATCTCGTTCGTGCCGCCCTAGAGCGCTTGACTTGAAAACACACAATGCCCCGAGACTTGTCATGTTCTTTGTATACAGATATTTCGAGAAAGGTTGTCGGAAAAACTGCGCGCGACAATCCCGAAAGGTAATAGGGTATGATCAATACACCGTTCCTAACACTGTAGCTATCGAACCTACTTTTGTTGCTTTCTTTAAGCACTCGCAAGCATACGGCCATGGCCTCTCGTGCCATTGTTTCAAATTTCTTTCTTTTTCTGAAGAATAGTGAACTCAAAACAACCCACAATACCTTTCAGGATTGTCGCGTGCACTTTTTCCGACAACTTTTCTCGAAATAGCTGTAAATTACAATTGAGATGAACTCTTGGATTTGGATATCTATTTATCATTTCAAACGTCGACAAGAACTGGAGCCGTCCAGTTACTGCAATCATGGACAAAAGTCTTGAGACACATTTGCATTTGTGAGTCTTTTTGTCAATTCACACTTGCCCAACCCCTCCCCTCTTCCCCCCAACCCCATAAACAACGCTGGACGTCTGCATCCAGAATTTTTTCCCAAGTTTCAACATTGTATAAGTGGAGGGAGGGAGGGAGGGAGAGCTGCACGAAGAATTCGAAAAGGATGCACTATTTTATTAGGGTATCCATAGATTAAGGAAAATTATGAATACTGCAGTGGACGTTTGTCCAGAAGTTTACAGGCTTTTGAGTCCAAAGGGGGCCGCAAAACAATTTTCCTTCAATTATCATGGAAAGCAGAAACCTCCAAAAATACACAGGCCAAAAATGCATTTATTCAGAAAAGAAAATGTTTATTAAGAGAGGTGTCCTCTCATAATCATAATGGACCATAATGGCTGAAAAGTTTTCAAAATAATGTATGCGTATGCGTATTATCAAGAGATAATTAGTGTATCAGTTTTAAAGCAGTAATATAAAAATACACAATGTTATATGTTAGCCGTTGCAAAAAAAGATTTTGTCTTAAGCGTCATAAACTTAATATTACCTTCTAGTCTCCTTAAGCAATAACGAAAAAGTTTATAAATATTTCGAGCCTACTTTAAAAATACTGTAGCTATTCCAGCAAAAATAGTTATACCGAAAATGTAAGGATGTAAAAAAGTGTAGTCCCACAATAAAGACTGGAATATATTTTTGCATCGATGGCGAATTCACTACTTTCACTTAGACCATAATACAGCTTGTTTACCCCCCAAAATTTTGCATAACCATTGTTTCAAATTTCTCCTGGGTATTACAGTCGTCCCACGAGAAATCCAAGACAATGGTTATGCAAAGTTTTGGGGTTAAACAAGGTGCATTATGGTCTATGTGAAAATGGTGAATAGTTTCTTCTTTGTTTATCACGGTTTTATTTGACGAGAAAACTAAAGCCATGACGAGAGGAGCGTAAGGGGAGTACGAATACTGCAAAACCGCACCGAATTCCGTGTAAAGACCGCATAGAACAGCATAAGAAAACCGCAAGCCGCATTGAAATTACCCTCGAAAATTTCTAAATATCGCCAACCGCTTGGTTTTGTAAAACAGCAATACCCCAACTTAAAATTAAAAAATGCCGCAAAACCGCATCACCGCAAACCCTTACGCCCCCCCTCCATGACTATTGTCGTAAACGATTCGGGTCAGTAAAATTTTCGTTTTGAATTTCGCTGGGGACAGCATTTCCCCATCAGTTTAAATAATTGGCCCAGTTTGACGACTCATATGCAAAAAAAGACGTAACTTAAAACAATTGCTTTTTAGTAAAATGAACGCCCTTTTAGCATCATACAATAGATTAAGTTACTTAGCCCTCTCCAAGAAAATGCTATGGTTATGAAAGGGAATGGCCCTGGAAATTAAGCGGATGTTTTATTGCCTATCGTTTTAATGTTAGTGATGTTGATTTGTCAGACAACAGTTGACTGATCAAAGGGTGTATGGTGTTTTTATACATCACCCGTCATGGGTTACACCATTGGTTCTAACAGCTCATCTCTCCTGAACAGATGGATCCAGGAGGGGGTGGGGGAATTCCCCATGGGTTCCCATGCACCTCTTTATTACCCCAGATACCGTATTTATTCGAATAAGCGCCCAACCTCGAATTAGCGCCCACCTCGAATAAGCACCCATCCTAAAGGCAGAAAAAGTTAATAAGCGCCCAGCCTCGAATAAGCGCCCACCCCACCCCACTCCCTCCCACAAAAACTCCAATAAGAGATAATAAGAGACCCTCCCGAAGACGGAGTTTTCTTCAGGGTATTGTACAGAAACCTTGCTTTGTTACATCTTCGCTTTTTGTTATTAGCATTTACTGTTTTGTTGCAAAATATACTACTACACTTGCTGAGAATGGTGAAAATTTAATAAGCGCCCAGCCTCGAATAAGCGCCCACCTCGAATAAGCGCCCACTCTCAAGGTCCAAAAATTTAATAAGCGCCCAGGGCGGTTAATCGAATAAATACGGTACTTGTTGACCTCAGATAGAAACATTGGGCTTTAGCTGACCCCGTCCTCTCTAATTAAAAGGCTTGAATTGCACTACACTGGACAGTTTAAGTTAGCGTTTAAAGAGCTCTAGTAGGTCTAGGACCCACTTCCAAGGCTCGGAGAAGTCTGGAAACATTGTATTCATCTACTTCTGCTGGGTTCCTACGTGACATTTCTGGTATTTGTGTGGCCCTATGGAGGCCACGTCCACACGAATCCGGATACAATGAAACCGCATACTTGATATTTGCGTCAGCACGAATGCGGTGTGGTGTATCTTGTTTGGATTCATTCATCTCTAAGAATACGCTACTGCGATTTACATTTACTAATTACTAGCCAGTAGGCATGTGCAAACCGAGCCCACGATATGATTTCGCGGCAATTTCGAATGTTGTTGTAGCTATATCTAGCACAATGGTCAGAGCTGCCTGTACGTTGTCCTACCAGGCATTTCTTTGCGCTAGTAAATATAGACGAAGCCAAAATCGTCTTTGAGGAGGTTCAGAACGAAGACGGTTTACACACCTTCACCCCGAACTAAAAGATTCTAACATCTGGATAAGATTAAGTCTTCTTTAATTTGAAATGGGTAATTGTTGTCGTCCGCCATTTTGAACTTGAAAGTTTTCATTTAAGACTGGACCAGAGTTCATGACGTACTTGGCTTCAAAAATATCTGGTTTCAGAAAAACCCGTCGGACCCCAAAAAATCCATTCTGGAGAGTGGTTTCAAAAATATGCGGTTTCGGTCAGCAGATTCACTGGTTTCGTATGGTGGGAAGGCCGATTCATTTAAAAAAAGTATGCAGTTTTAAAAGTATCCGGATTCGTGTAGATGGGGCCTGAGATGTTTGACATCACTAACCCATCAGTGTCAAATGACGTCATTGGAATGTCCCCAAAACTCGGATACCGGGAGGACCACGAGTTTCGATCCGAAGGGTGTCTGTACGGTCTTAGTAAGTGAAACATTTGCATATCGCAGTATCCCTATCAAGTTAAGAGCGACTGTCTGTGGAAAATCTGCTTTTCCAAGCTGATTTCAGTGCATGAAACCTGTCTGTCCTTCTGAGTTATTTTTTCTGACCAGAGTTCGAAGATGATCTTAGATGACGATTCTTGGCCATACCTTTCTTTGATTTGCTGATACACCTACATCTGGTTTTACAATTTGACCACATTCTTTCGGCTCAAACGCAAACTTTAATCTTCAGTTCTCTTCTCTTCCAGAAAAATTCGTCAATGACCCTTTCAGACCAGACCAGAGTATCATTCATCGACTCAAAATATTCAATTTTATTCAAAGAGAGTTCTAGAACATGTCTGGAACGTTCAGTTCTCGAAGTATCCCTGACTTATAAACTTGTCCACGTGATCCGCGCCATCGTGAAGAGACTGCTCACAGTCTACAATGAGTACCACATCAGTTTTTTGTATATGCAAAGGAAGAAATATGATTCAGTGCTTAGAAGCTACTAATATGGACCTTACGATTCGATAACGGCGACGTCCATGGAAACGTTGCTGAAAATAGACTTTGCAGCCTTTCCAACTTTTTCGCGATTATCTTAAGTCGCCCTGTTTCGAAAAAGAAGGTAACTTATGTTAGAGCTGAAGAGAGGGGGCCGCGCCCGAGTTCAGACAGAGCTGGCGGAATTTATCGCTTGCCGTTACCGTTCTAAAGTAAACTGAAAATTTGGTCATTTTACGTCATAGTTGTGCATGGATGGCAGAGAAATGTGAAAAGGAGTGATGCACGGGCAGAGTTGTTGCTTTGCTCGTTAAACCTATTGCCTTTTTGACGTTGACGATGCCGTTGCCGTCGTAGTTTCGTAAGGTCCCTATTAAATATAGTCTGTTTAGCAGCCGCATGATCTGGGCAAGAAATTTAAACATATGCCAAAACACAATCTTTTATTGAACGAATTCAACCAATGAGAACCAAACGGAAATTTCCCCGACTCTGTTTGAGTTCATGCACGGGTGCTCTGCGTGATGTAACCTTGTACTGCCCAGTTGCGCGGAACTTTGATGAAGTTTGTCAAAAGATTCCAATGATGTACTCTCCTCGCAGAAGCTTTCAAGCAGCTTTGACAACATATAATGTTTACTTGTTATGGATGTCCATTGTTACTGGTGAGTGTTTCTTTTGAATGGTCCAGTTTATGTTACGTCTTCCTGCAAGCTAGCTAGAGAAATTTGACTCCGAAAACGATTTCAACTCTAACTTGAAGGTTAGCCTGAATAACTTCGCAAAATATCAGACTTCAATGGGGGAATTGCTACCGATACCACTGACAGATACGACGCTGATACTGAATAGCAAATCTACTATCTAAAGTAGACAGCAAGTTTCTTAATTTATGTGGAATAACTCAACCGAACTTGGTTATTGCGCATAAATTAATCCTCTTTGCCTACCTGAAGGGCGAGCTGAAAGCCTTATACCCGCTTTTGTTTGGGCGGATTCATTTGCAACATACGCGATTGAGTATCAGGCGCTTGAAAGGAATTATGTCTCAAGAAAGTGCGAGGGAAACGTTTTTCTTGAGCCCATATTCCTTTCAAGCGTTTGCATGCTACACAGACTATTAGCTGTCGGGCAAATGGGGCGGTAAACAACTTAGGTTGCAAATGAATCCATCCTTTGTATCTAAAAACTTAATAACCTGAAATCATGCGATAGCTAGCCTCGTCTTAATTATCCTCGCACTAACGATGATGTCTGAGAAGATTATTAACAAGTAACTACTAGGTAAAGAACTTTAAAAAAAACATTCTATTTAAATAATTACTTCCTCAACATGCTTCGTTCTTTCTTTTGTTTTGAGTTTAGGTTTCAGAAGCGCATAAATTAAGACGCTTGCTGCCTACTTTAAGTAGATTATATTGCTGCCCCAAATTTTTTCTAGTAATTCTCTTTGAACAGAAAGTAATGCTGCTTTTGAAGAGCTTGTTCTTCTCTTATTTAGGGATCGTCTTGTCCTTTCTGGTTTTGCGAACGTTTAAATGAGCAACGATGATAGGGATTTCATTTTGGGGGAAGCAAAAGCAGAATGAGAAAAGGCGGGTCGTTCTAGGAAACTCATTCATCTCGGCGACGGCCTGAGATGCGATACTGCATAGTTTACCGCACCGAGCATCGACTACCACCGGTAATTTTACGAGGCCTATGCCATGATGCGCCAACTAGTAGTCAGCCTTCCTTTACAAGAGTAAAACCTTGGTTAATGTTAGTACCCGAGGAGCCTTCAAACGAAATACTACCAGTAAGTAAGTTAGGACTTTAAATATAAGACTTTAATTATTATTGAATCTTCATTTGCATCCGAAAACAAGGTTCATTTCCAGCGGATATACAGGAAGATACCGCCACGGCCGCCACACTCCTAAAGCGCACACAGCAAGTCTGTAACCACAACAAACTCAAAACACATCATTCTAAAGCACAAAATCCATTCTGCTGTTCATGTTTCTATATCATACCGTTAAACAATATCTTCTTTATCTATCAGTTTCAGAAAAATGTAAACTTAACCCTTACTCTCAGTTTGTTTATTAGTTTTTAATATTGGTCACGAGATTGGAGTGTCTTAACACAATTGAGTGATTTTTAAAAATGCGGTCCCCGAACGCTTAGTCCCCGAACCAGAAAAAAACGATTTTATTCTTCAGATTCTGGCATTGCTCGTTTTAGTATGTCTTCAAACGTTTTGCGAGAACTGGAATAATCACCACAACTCGAGGGGAGATTTGGGACGATCATCTAAAAATAGAAAAAAGATGATAAACCAGCATAATTAAAGGCTGATTTTGAAGAAAGAAACGCACTTAACATCTTTTGCTCACTTCCTTCATTCACTACAACTGAACCAATAAACAGATTCTTATATCGAAAGGGAAACTACATGGCCGCTTGATCGGCGCCCTCGTTTCGCTTGTAATAGTCCACAGTTGTTGTACTTTCACTCCATAGCTGTGTAATTCATGTAGCCTGTTTTTGTCTCCTTTTGTATTCAGTAAGATCATAGTGGAGCTCTCGCGCGCGCGAAGCGGAGCACCATGGGTAAGAAAATTTGGTAACCTATGCATCCTAGAAATTTGGTAGTCACGTGACCGTAAGTCCACCCGACCGCCCGTCCGTCCGCACGACAGGCACACCAATATAAAATAACTCGATCAACAGGTATGGCAACCCAAATGCAACTCAAGGTTTATCTGGAAGGACATCGAATGTCCGCCCGGACTTTTAGAGAGAGAAAAAAACAACAAAGTCGTGTCTTTTTCGACGTTATTTTTTGATGTTTACACTCACGTGGATAACAGTGAAAGAGCTAGAGCGAGTGACTGAAAACAGAGGAGACAAATTTCGTTGGAAGAAAAACATGAACATTTCATAGCGGTGGTTGAAACATGAGAAATGCTAGCGGCCAGCAAAGAGCGGACAGCAAGGTGAAAATGAGTGGCAGTGAAAAAATAAAAGGGAACATGAACACACGAAACAAAATCTTTGGTAATCACATACGACAATTCCTCCATAAAAATAATGTGTAACTACGAAGTTTGACGTTTTAGTGGTACAAGACGTCATTATAGTCGTGCAAAACAACGGCAAAGATAGACAAAAAAGTGTGTTGCACGTGTAAATTTGTTTTTTTGCTAATTAGATCTCGTGATCTAGATGCCAATTCTATTGCCGTCCCCGTTTAGCATTACACAACTTAATTTTTTTTGTTTATAAGTATTATTAACCGGAGCTTCGCTTTTAGCCCTGGCTAAATCTATATATTAGTACTATAATAGCTTGTAATGGGTGAAGAATCCTAAAGTCGGGATCTTAATGTTCTTTTAACCTCTCGAGAGGGGTGGCAGTCGGGGAGCAGCAGAGGTATGGGAAAGGGCAGCAGTTCAGAATTTACAGCTGAATTCTAAAGGAGCTGCACATACCTAGCTGGGATGGATGTATACAGTAATTTTCAAGGAGTTATAATAACTCCTCTAGTGGGGCTAATTTAACTCCTTACAGTGGAGTTATTTCTTGGGGAGATTTTTTAACTCCAAAAAGGAGTTTAAAGAACTCTTTTTCAGGCTGAAGTAAAAGTGACCCCAGATATTGAGGAGTTAAAATAACCCCAAAAAAGGAGTTATCCTGTGCCTAAAATTTTTACTCCACTTTCAGAGTTAAATTAACTCCAAAAAGAGTAAAAACAACCCATGTAAGGAGTAAAAATAAACCCATTTTGGAGTTATTTTAACTCCAGACTGGGAATAAAAAATATTCTTTTTCAGGAGACCTAAATTCGGAGGTAAATTAGAGTTAAAGTAACCCCCAAAAAGGAGTTATCCTGTACCTAAAATTTTTACTCCATTTTTGGAGTTATAATAACTCCCTAAACATTACAGTGTACTACATAGATTAGGCGTATAATTGCCCTAATTAGAAATATAAATATTAAAAGGGATTTTTGTTTTTATGGTCCAGATCAGATGGACGCACAGACTTCATTCCTGTTTGATCCCATGCATATAAAATATTCTCCCAGTAAATATCTCTGTATCTCTGGGTGGTTCAAAAATTAAAGTAGTGCGCTTGTTACGGGTAATACATTGTTACGTACTTGTGAAGTAGTCATGACTTTTCCTATTTACAGCGAAGCTTTCCATTTAAATAAAAGTTCCACCTCCTCCTCACACATCATTATATGTTACCTGTGATCGTTCAACATATTTTTGATATTTTTAAAACGAGAACTTGGCTTTTTCTTAAAAAGCAACACCAAAAAACTGAAAAAATTACAGAAAGGATTACATACCGTTATTTCAAGTTACGGTGTCGGCAAGCCTACGCAACGAGACATTATAGCACTACCCATGATAACTTTCCCATACTAAGCCGTGAAGCAACTCCTTTGTCATAAAATTACGAAGTTTAAAGCTTGAGACGTTTTTTACCATTCTGTAGTACTGACAAGGGCAAATAGTAAACCCAGGATTTACAGCTACCCTCATGACCTTGCGGTCTTGCCACGTTGGCTTGGGGCCTTAAAATCCGACAACATTAAATTGAAATAACTTGATTTATTTCCTTTGTTTTGTCATCAACAATTTAACTTTCAGCGCCGGCGTTTTGGGACGTGATTTCCTAATGCATTATAGATCCTTATTTCAAATATGCAGACTAATAATAATCCCCCTATACCACTTAAAATTTCAACTTCGCCTCCTCTTTCCTCTCTGTCCCGCCTTATCTGATTCCCTAGCCCTTACAGTTCATGCTTATGCTACATGCGTATTACTACCTCAGTCAAGATTCAATCCTCCCTGTTCTTACTAAGGCTAAGCGCCCCACTGGCAGGCCACAATTACACTATAAAGATGGCGAACCTGAAAACCTTACTGTAAGATCGATCTTACAGTAAACTTTCACCACGAACATTTTATCTACCCGACTAACTGCCCCTGGGTCTCCGTGGATGTGTGCGGAAGGGACTGTCACGGTATTTCCAGCCTCACAAGATTTTTCCGAGAACCACCAATTAGAGCGCGACACCATAGTCGTATTCGAGAATGAAGGATGCCGATAATAGTAATACTACGAGAGAATTGACACTAGGTAATACGGGATTAACTACTTTTGCTCGTGCTACTGGTTCCCTGTTAATTTAACAAATTTTTCCTTGTCCTCCAACTTCTTTTTCTTTAGGTGTTCGTGCTGGAAACATAAAATATGTTTGTCCGAAAGAAATGGTCCAATTGGATTGTGATCCTCAACTTGAGCAAGCCATCCAGAGTGGAGATTTCAAGGAACTTTCCTGGACGGTCAACGATCTTCGTAACAAATCTGAGTTTGGGCAAACAGTAGCTTATTGCAACGAATATCTCTTCTGTAACACGGATGATCATTTTGGAAAATTTGAAAAGCGTATCAAAATGAAAAAGTATCCTGACAATGGGGTATTGAACGTGGAGCAGTTGAACAAGGATGACTTCCTGACTTTCACATGTCTTGTGAAAAGAAAAGACCGAGTTGTTTATCACCAAGTTCATCTTAATTCTTCCGTAACTTGTGAGTAGCATTTAAAATATCTTATTTCTATCTATTTCTGTCAGTTTTGTCTTAATCCTTACTACGACGTTCACTGCTGAGTGGATTATTGTAGTATACTAGTAATGCAGTCCTGTACATTGTGGGTGTGTTCGACCAACTCGCTTGCCAAGCAGAAGGTACCAAGAGTCTGAAATGTATTTCTTGGAGATGACCGAGTAATTTCAGGCATACAGCTTTGATGAAAAATCATTGACAAGACATCGAAGATTGATTGAAAAATAGCTGAATAAATGGTGTTATTTCTATTTGAAGCAACTTTATGAGATGACCATTGAAAAATACGGCAGCCATCTAATTAATTAATTCCTGACATCTAAGGCTTAGCTCAACATTGAACGTAAACAAAATCGTCGATTTTCAAACAGCATTATTAGAGGCAATGATTTGATTCATTTTATATTTTATGACGATAATTTAAGGACTTTTGACGAACGTAACTTCTAGAACTTTTTAACCGTGCTTTTAATAATCGTTTACGCACGTTAAAGTGACTGATAACAGTCGCTGAACTAGGTTTTATGGACGAAACCTTATCCAATTCATGATATTGTAAACAAACACTTAACACTTAAGGGTTACAACTTGATGTTACGGAGCACGAATTTATACTAATTAGTATGCTTTATTACCATGTGCTGTATTAGGTTCAATCAGGGAGTTTATGTTAGGCATCATGCTTTCATAGATATTTGCACATACTAATTAGCATGGCATTCGTGTTCCGTAACACCAAGTAAGGACCCACTAAAGGGACTATGAGACTAGCGTGTTAAAAAAATATTTTTTAATCTGGGTTTAAAAAGAGAGATAGTAGCAACACTTTGTATATTGTTATTTAGTGAGTTGAAAAATTTAGGACCCTGAAATCTTATACATCTTCCAGCTTAACATGAAGTGGTTTCAACTCTTCCACATCTTTTTTAGTGTACTGCAGGTCCTGAACATCCTTCACCACACTGTCCACTCTCAAAGTCAATGTTTGAATCATTGACTGAAATAACGATTTGAATCGTATGGATTCCTGCACCCTTTAACAATTCTTGAAAGGTGGCTAGAGTTACGTAATCTCGCTCCTTCGGTGCCATCCGCAGATGAATCCTGTTGTGAATCCAGACTGGCTGCACCCTTTGATTGATGTTTTTGTGTTTCACACTTTTCATGAAAACGAAGATTAATAAAAAAAGCTGCTTCTTACGAATGAAATAAATACACGAAAGAAAGAAAACTAGAAATTTAGGCGAATGCTTGCGGAGCTCAACACGCGTCCACACGCCATGACTACCGCTGATACCTTTAGGTTCCCACGTTGATTTACCACAAGGAAAGTGCTTTGTACGGTATTTACGCACTTGTTGTTTTTGTATCAGAAGTCTTACTCGTTCGCTGCGCTCACTCGTTCGATTTCTGATACGTCAACAACTCGTGCGTAAATACCGTACAAAGCACTTTCCATTTAGTATTCTCTATTTACCATGAATTTTACCAATGCGATGAACTATATCAAAATCGTACTGTTGCAAAAGCAACGCCCATCTTCATAAGACGACCAGTCGCATCTTTGACATTCATTGCCCAACGAAGCGAACTATGATAAGTTACAACAGTAGACGTATAATTGTGTAAATAAGGCTGCAATTTCGCAATACCCTCAACTAATGCGATAGCTTCTCTTTCTGTGGTGCTTTAATGTTTCTCAGCTTGATTCAAACCAGGACCATTGTAAGCAATAAATACTTCCTTTCCATTTTGAAATTGTGCTGAAGTAAAATAAATCCGAGTGGAGCTTGTATCAACAAATACTAAAGATGGTGCCCCAAAATTAGGATATGGCAAAATAGGAGCGGAAACTAAGGCGCACTTCAGCATGTTAAATGCCTCAGCTCACGCTTCAGTCCGAACAAAGGGAACGTTCTTCTTTGTCAAGGCATTCATAGGGCTGGCAATATTAGAAATAATTAACAAGACGTGAAAAATCTTTTTTTATTTCCTTCAAATTTGTGGGAGTAGGGAACTACTAAACCACTCTTATTTTGTCTTGGTTGGGACTAACGCCGTCGGGTATAACTACATGACCAACACACTCTATTCTTTAATTATCAAAACTGCATTTCTTTTTTTTTTACTGTTTTTAAGAATTTTTTTTACTGAAATATACCTATAAAAAACTGAACTTCATAGGATTTAGCTTGACTTTGGCGTCACACAACCTTTTGAAAACTTCATTCCAATGTAGCAAATACTCTTCAAGAGATTCAGAGAAAATGATTGTATCATCGATATAAATTGAAAACGGTATTTTAACCTCTCAATTATGACCCGTAAGCCTCTGAAAACTAGCTCCTGAATTGGTCAATCCAAACGGGATGGGCAAAAATTCATAAAGGCCATTGTGAGTAGCAAATTAAAGCAGTCTTTTCTCGTGATTCCGGATGCATTTCAGTAACCGTTTTTGACGCCTAACGTCGAAAATATACTTGTACCGGCTAAAGAATCTAGAACATCTGCTCCTAAAGGCATTGGAAAGCTGTCCATTTAAGTGACCTTTTTAAATTTGCGAAACTTTGCAAAACCAATTTTTGACCAAAACAGAGCTCCAAGGAGAAGCAGACTCTTGAATAATTCCGTTCTCAAGTATTTCATCTACCTGACGATCAATTTCTCTCCTAAATCCCGAGACGTTCTGTACGGGCTTTGTTTAATGGACACAGCATCACCAGTATCTATGACATGCTCTACAAGGGAAAACATCACGATATTTATTGAACAAATTCTTGAATTTTTCTTTCAAATCATCATTCAAAGTACTTGCTAAATCATGTTCAACCCGCTCAAAATCTGCCAATTTAGTCCTAATTAAGAAAGTTTTTTTAACGGGTTGAGAAGAGGGGATAATCGCATCACTAGAAACTTTTACGTGCTCTGACGCTCCAAAGGCTAAATAACGGGTTGGGTAAATCAGAATTGGCATGACCAACCCAAAAATTTCAGTGGTTTCATTGTTTATACCTTTAATTTTCCAAAAACAACCACTGGAGATTGGGCAGAAATTGTAAAAGAGTAATCGGAAAGTACAGACGAAACACAATTAACATCAACTTTAGCATCCAGATGATTACCAAAACCATCAGGAAACGGGAGAGGGTCCTCGGGGTGGGAAAATTCAGCAATGTTTTCTATAAAAGCGAGTTTCGAACGACATTTTTGACGAAAATCTCTGCCTAAAACAACGTCATGAATTAAATCTTTGATAACATAGGCTTCAAAAAGAAAAACGTCAGACTTAATAACAAAGAAATGTAGAATACACCTGGTCAGTGACAACCGTGCCTCCGAAAAATGTACCCTTTTATTCGTCATTGATCCAAAAACAGATTCTAGTCGCCCTCAATGCACCAGCTTTTCCTCATGTCATTGTATCGTAGTTGACGCTAGTTAAGCATGTTAAGTCAATGCAATGGTTTTTCTTTTCTTTCAGTTCTACCTTTGTTTTTATATTGTAATTTTGCGCCTTTGTATTTTTTTTCTTCTTTCTTCCTAGTAATTAGCTCTGAAAACATGTCCCACCATAATCGCAGGCATCCCAAACTGAATAAACTTTTGAGAAAAGCAATAAATAAACTGCTTGTAAGGTGTGTGTTTAAAAAACTAATGAAACGGATTTTTTAAATTAAGGTGGGTCAACCCAGTAATTTTGTAGGCTTTCCTTTTACCTTTGAACTTCCTTACCTAAACAGCTTGGTCTTTATTGTAAATCCATTATAACACATGGATTACACGTAAACTGAACTATATTATATTTGATTATTTTGCGATCGAAAAGAATATCACTTGACACAATGACACGTCACAATTGTTTGATTTTCCCTCAAATTGCTCTACGCTTCGTATACTTTAGGTGATTGCTTTTTTTTCTGCGAAGTTTCATTCAAAATTCGTAAATAGATTTCCTTTAAAGATTTTGAGAACTGCAAATTGACCAGTATACTATAAAATCCCTGAATTTCATGTCGATTGAAAACTTTTAAAGGTGTCTAACGTTCGCTCAAAATTGAGTAATGAAAGAAGCGATGTCGGCATAGTTTTGGATAATTTTGTGTTCTGGGATTTCTCACGGTTTCCAGCTTAACACAACATGGAATTCCCATTCAGCACTTCTCTGAAAAAAGTGTTCTCAGGATTATAGAAACATCAGAATGCAATTTGTATGGCTAATTAATTCCTATGGCTTGTTTGTTTTTGTTTTTATGCATGACAATGTTTTTGCAATTGGGTTTATATCTGGTTGGCGTCCGAAATGATGTCATCTACAAGCAACATACTTCTCCATTGTTTTTGCGGCCATTTTGACTATCAATTTCGACCGTAAAAGTATTTCAAAGAGAGTATTGAAACAATCTGTACCATTAGCTTAAAAGTAAGAGAAAAAATCGAGATAAAAGGACATTAGTCAGTACCGCCACACTTCGCACACGATTTTCTTCTCAGTTCAGCTTTTTACCTTCAAAACCTTGTTGTTTTCCCCTTAGACCTGCCTTTGAATTCATGGTACACCAAGGTAAACCCACAATCAGTAACCTGGTGCTTTCCCCACCGATGAATAAAACGCTGGTTTCGGCTACATTAGTCGTTGAACCCGAGTTGAATTTGCATGTGAAATTGCCTCCCTTTTTTTGGTTGTTGTTGTTTAAGAATAAAACAGGACAATGAAACAAAGAAGAAAAAGGAAAAAAAAGAAGTAAGGGTCTTCATGACAGGATATTCGAGACAGGTCACCGATCCAGTCTCTGATCCCTCCCACACGGATTAATTTGATTGACACTCGTTAAAACGTGGCTCAACCTCGTCTCCAGGGCTTTCCGTTTTTTTAAAGCCCTGGAGATACGGCTGAACTGGGTGGCGGTCGCCGAGTTTCACGAGGTATCTCTAGTTTAAAGGAATTAGTAATGTCATTGTAATTGTGTTTTTCAGCTGAAAATTGCCCAGCAACTACATCAAAGAGGAATTATGTGCTGTTGTTAGTCATAGCGATCTTTGGATTTACCATCTTGCTCGTAATAATGTGGGTGCAAGAAAAAGGTGAGAAAAAAATTCCACAGAAATTAAAATTAGCTCTTACTCGGACAGTTTTTCTTAACCCTCAATTGAAAAAATAGTGCAGTGCAGTGGAAAATTTAAACGAAAAGAAAGAGTTTTCCAAAAGATCGGCTGGGTTTCAACCTCAAGTTTTCAGGCCTAGCCCGGTCCGGTTCTACAACAAACATTTCTCACGAACTGTACAGCTGGGCAGATATTTTACCCGATTTCATAGACAGAGCTTGAATTATAACATAACCTGCAGGGCAGGCGCTATTTTTCACGAACGCTTGTTTAAAGTTCGCCGTTTTGGAATCAAAAGAGCAAGACTAGGGGAGGAAGGGAGGGAAGGGGCACAGGAGAGGAGGGGGTTAGAAAAGGGAAAAAAGCCTACCTGTGAAGGTACGGAACACCTTCTAATTAGTTGCTCTTGTTTTGCTTTCATTTTCTTGAAATGTTTATACAGGTAATGAAAATCGAGGTTGTTTTTGCTGGAAGCAAGAAATTGACGAACGACATTAACATGAGTCTGTAATTGTTTTAAAAGCTGGTGATGCGCGAGTAAAGGTATCTCAAAAACACGTCCTATAATTAGCTGCGGGATCTGCAAATTTTATCTGGACCCTCATGTTGAGCAATTTTACACCTAGTCGCAAAATCTGTTTAAAGCGTCTTGCAGACGTTTGTCGTCAAGAGGTTTGTTGCAGGATGCAGAGGTTTATTCGGATCGCCTATGTAACCCCCTGTGGTGGCAAAATTGTCAGTTCATTTTTTTGGAGAATGTCAAAGCCACCAGAAAAGGTGGTACATTATCAAAGGTACCTAATATTTATGACTCCAGAGAAAGCGTGTTCGCATGGGAAAAAAGCGAAGCTAATTAGCCATTGATATTTCCTTTTTAAAATGAATCAGAGCAGGAGCCATAATCGGGCTGAGTAAACTCCCCGCGCAGGAGGACCGGAAAAAAATATGGCTTTAATTGGCAGGCAGCAATCAATGTGCTCAGTACCAACCGCATACAATGGTTTGGCTCGGTTTGCATGATGAGTAAAAAACCTCTGTCTCCTAGGGTGTTTCAACCGTGGCACTTTTGAGAAGTTTGACAGAAATTACGTTATTTGTATCCTCATTTGCTCGTGATCAGGATATGAAAATTACTGAATGAATGAAGCAAGACAGGGCCACCATTATAATTAGCCTGCAAAACAGGTGTATTTGGTTGGGCAAGTTGTTCTGCCTTCATTTTGGGTGCCGAAGCCGACAGAGGGTTGTGGCGAGCCAAAAATGATTCCAAGGGAGAGGACGATGTGTTTAAAATAGAGAGAGACAAAGGGGTTAGGGAAAAGGGGAAAATACACCTCCACGCAGCCATGGTTCTGCTGACGAAGCCCAAACATTGGATGGACGGGGGTTCTTACTGGTGCGAGCGAAAAAAAAAGATCACTTGCAGCGACGATTTTGCGGGATATCTTGATTGTTTAGGGGTTTACCATTAGAAACGTTATGGGGGAAGGGTGGGGAATTTTCTAGCGGCATAATTTTCTTTTAACATTTCCTTTATTACTTGGGACAATATTGGCCACGCAAGTCCGTGGCTTCTTGGCTTGTTTTGGCTATTTAATGGCGGGAGACCGGAACGTCTACGAGATATCTCGAGGTCAATTAAAATTCTTTCGGCTGGGATAAATATTTAAATTTGTTCGAGGAATAAATGATTATTTCCTTTAGCTTACCCAGGGTTTGAACCGCTAAGTTGACGGATTAGCCGATTGGGCTACTGCGACCTAGTGTGGTGCAGTTTTCAATGGAATCAAACCACTATGAGATGAAGCCGCGCGAGTTTCCAAAGCTTATCATTTTCTTAAAATATTTTGTGTGGATAGCATGCTATTTCACTGTTTTTATGATTCTTAAAACCTCTTTTCAAATTATTTCCAAAACGCTCTAATAGAATTTGTTCAAACTTTGCCGTAATTGAGGCGGCAGGTACATACCCCCTTAAACGATTTCTTAAAAAAACTCCTGGTACAGAGAAATTAAACACAAAGATAAAAAAAAACGTAATGGCGCCATTACGTTTCCATGGAGACTCCGATTGCAATAAAATCCAGATCATAAGAAATTATAATCTTTATATAATACAGTTGGGGTAATCTTTTTCCCATATCTTTACTCATGCCGACGTAGTTAGTACTCAAACGTGTGAAGTATCCTGAACGATCTGAACGATCGAGAACAAGACTACATTAAACTACAAAGGGATCTATGTGAGACTAAAGAAAAATTAACTAAATGCGAATCCTTGTTAACAACACGTGAATGGTTGATTTCTCGAGATGAAATTGAAATTATGCGTGAAAAATTCTTGGGAGAGGGGAGCTACGGGAAGGTTTTTAAAGGCAGATATCGTGGATTTGTCGTTGCAGTCAAAGAACTTAAGTGTTTGTCTACTTTTCGAGAACGTGATCTGTTTGAACGGGAAATGGACATTGCTTCAAGGTGTCGTCATCCATGCCTGTTACAGTTCATCGGCGCAACTCAAGATGAAAAAACGCCTTTGTTTGTTACAGAGCTAATGGAATCAAGCTTGCGAAAATTGTTAGAGAAACGGCAACTTTCTGAAAAAGAAATCGCTGTCATTTCTCTGGACGTAGCTCACGCTCTTAACTACCTTCACCAAAGAAAACCCAAAGCCATTGTTCATCGTGACGTCAGTAGTGCTAATGTGTTGTTGTGGAAACAAAATGGCGAATGGCGAGGCAAACTGGGAGATTATGGCACTGTTAAATTTCTACAAGAGATTATGACAGTGGCTCCCGGAGCTATGATTTATGGTGCGCCCGAAGTAGGATGTCCCCATAATCAAACCGTCAAGGTTAGTTTCCTTGTTGTAAGTTAACCTGTTGATCGAAATACACAATTTAATGCCCAGAGTGAGATCACTCATTGTTACAAAATGAAAGACGCTTTTTTGAATAGCTTAATCATATTTATTTATTTTTTCATTTATGTTTCTATATACTTTCCAAAGGATGCCGTTCTCCTCTTGAACAAAGCCTAGTTTCCTTGATACTTGATTAATTGGCTACCCTTAATCAGAGGGTAGCAAAGGGGGGTTCTTGGTCCCGTTTCACGTACAAATTTTTAGTGCTTGAGCACTAATCGCTCGAACATGAGAGTGAAGGGAGAATAGGGACACTGGACGGTAATCTATCTCATTTCTAGGGTGGTCAATTCTGGAGACAGGTGAAATCCGCGCCGCAGTTTTCCTGGTGTGTGCGAACTGTCTTGTAGAGAGACACACGTTGATGATATGTGTGAAAGGACTCATGTGTAGCCCACCAACGAGTTTGACATACTTTACGGGGATTTGATCAGTTCCAGCTAGTCAAATCGAAAAGTTTCCTGACCAGAGCTCTTTAAGCACTTCTCCACCAGATACCCTATGAAGGTCAAAGGGACGCTGCACAATAAATGTTGCAACAACGGGAAGATAATACTCTTTCACTGCGTTCAAAATAAAAGAGAGTTACCTTTAAATGGCTTTACTTACATTTAAAGCTTGAACTTGACCTGTTTAGTGTTTACAAGCTACCTGTCAATTGACCATTTGCACGATGGCGTCATTTTAAATCCTTTTCGTTTTTCCTTTCATATTCTTGTTTGGTAATCCCAGTGAGGTTTCAAAAACTAAAGCCCTAATTTGCACAAGAAAGCAAAATCCTGAAAGATTCTGGCCGTAGTAGTAAAATGACGTCATCGTGCAAATGGCCTATTAGTCTGTGATGTACAAAGGGAACGCAAGAATAATCAGAGACAGGAGCTCATATCAGAGCGAGCCACTTCTATGTTAACGTGTCAGAACGTTTTCATCGAGCAGTCTATTTTTAGAACGATTTTGGCTCGAATCTAGAATAGGGAATAGGGAACGTAAGCGTCACTTTTAAAATGAGTTCGCGGTTTTTCAAACTTTTTCGCGTTTATTCCAATTCCCTGAAAAGGTGAAATGTAGGCGAATTTCCCTAAGGTTGTTTTCTTGGGGACCCCACTTAAGTTTAGAAAGAGAAAACCCAGCTAAGACAAAAGCAAGGGAGTTTTTTTATTCGCAAGCAAAGTTTGGAATATAGGTTATTGCTTGTATGTTGGTTGAGTTTTTTTGTGTAAATGGTGGCCAAAAATCGGTGTTTTACGGCACGAAGTTCAGGTGTACCAGGGTCATGCCATTTTATTGTCTTTTTAAGGAGAACTAAATTTTTCTTTCTTTTAGATCGATGTTTATAGCTTTGGTGTCCTCTTGTGTGAAATGTGTACAAGGAAATTGCCAGTTTTAGAAAATCGAGAAGAACAAGTGAGACTTGTCTCAAACAAGGGGTTTGCTGGGCTGATACTGTGGTGTGTTGAGGAAGATCCAATGATGAGGCCCAGCATGGAAGAGGTTATAAAGAAAGTGGAGGAGATTAAAGATGTCGATTCAGAATTACAGAACTTTCTAAGCGGTAGACTGGCCATTTAAAACAGTAATATTTCAATCTTCAGAAACGAAATTATGTAGTTTATTCCTCTGCAAAGTTATTAGATGAAAGGCTGGTAGGGCTCAATTTGCTTTGTCTTTGAGTTTTCCGACGCGGCCAGTTTCGTACACAACGTCCTTTTTTAGGCGAATCCTTGGCATTTTTTGCCTCATGAACAACATGTGCTTTATTCTCTAATGAAGCTATTCAGATAACATCGCTGAACATTAAAGGAACATATTACCGAATAGAAATTCTCTTCCAAAAACTCGAACTTTTACAAAGAATGTATACGAACCAGGAGCCAATCTGTTTGAGCTCATTAAGTGTTTATGCCACCTAGCAATTCCCCAGTTTTTGATTGCTGCTATTTCCTTTGTTATTGATCGCAAAGAACTGAAAATTGCACGAACTGATCAAAATACCTAGCTCTTTCAACTTTTGAACTTAAGTTGTATATACAGTACGACGACGGTTTCTACGGGTTAACTGAGTTTCGCCGCCTGTAGCCCAATAAGAATGGAATATGGTCCCCAAAACAGTTCCATAGGGCAATGTCCATTTTCCATGGAGTTGACCTTGTTTTAATACAACCCTTCGTCCTTTATTATGTTAATCCATGTTGTTCTCATGCTAACTAGTATTTTTTAGCATGAATAATTTTCATTTGAAAAGGAAAGAGGTTCACTCAGAGGCTAGGATACTAAGCTCACTACTGTAAAATAGTCTTTTCGACATTAAAACCGACCTACAAGTAGTTTTACGTTTAACCTTAAAGTGGCCAGTAGAAGGAGTACATTTTTTTTTGCTTACGTGTAATTTCGGTTTGTTTCACCCATCAAAAAAAGAACTTTATATTGGTAACCCATTAGCTAATTAAATGTTTGCTATGAAATGCTTAATCCTACTCGCAGGACAACTCGAACCTCTATCTAACAAAGTCTTTGAAGGCTTGAATTCAGCATACCGTAAACGATATAGTTGAGAAACTGCGTGTAGTACGTCTGGTCGAAGACTAGAAGAGATCTCTTGACAACAGCCACACAGATGGGTGTTATCTATATGAGCAAAGCTTTTGGTTGCTTATCTTCTGACCTGCTGCTTTCAAAGCTTCAAGCTTATGGTCTATGTAGCAACTCATTGGCTCTTCTAAAGTTCTATTTTAGTAACAGGAAAAACAGGGTGCGACTAGGCGACACCTGTGGGGAATGGAAAGCAGTCAAACGCGGATGCCCCCAGGGCTCATCACTTGGCCCAGGGTTGTGGAATTTTTATCAAAATGATCTGTTTTATGAAAACATTCGATCTTAACTGAGTGCTTACGTTGACCACCACCAAATATATATTTCGGGTGAGTAGATCAGCCCCTACACTCAGTAACTTTCAAAAAGGCATCAGAAAGACAGACATTGCCTCGTTAATAGATGACTCTTGTAACGACTGTGTCCTTGTTAGCATTAGTTTGCCTCACCATTTTACTCTTTTTAGAGTTACTCAATTTACGATTCAGAGATATTATTAGGTAGTTATTTATGAGAACTAGAATTTAGAGTTTAAATTATGATTAGAATTTACAATAGTTTTATATATATGATCAGGAGCCCATCAAATGGAGCTTCCATCTCCATTAATTTCTTGAGTCAACCCTTTCCCGAGTAGATTTATTAATAGAACAGCTTGTTTCCCGCGAAAAGTGTCATATTTCCGTGAGTCTCGTATGTCACCGTGAAAAAAATGAAGTTGGATGAAGTCGAACTCAGAAGCCCGTCCTTCGACCGTTTTCCTTTTTTACTATACGTCCATTTTTATAGTTTTACAGCCGCTGGGATCTGGGATGAAATAAAAGTTAATGAATTACCCGACTGAGACTGAGGATGAAGCGATGGGCCAAAGGCAGCGAACTGAGGATAAAGGAAAGATTCTTTGCGAGTGTTTGTTTTTGTTTTTTTTTTTGCCGTCATACATTCCACATTTAAGCATGATCCTTGAAAAGAGTCGACGATTAAGCGTTCTGTGGACGATTTGAAACTTTTCGATGATCAGCGCCGAAAAAGTGCCAGGATCATTTATTTTTGTCATCGCCGTGGAGTGGATTTCGCCAGTTAAGCACCGCGTGCAAAAGCGATGACCTAAGTAGCAACTAAGGAGGAATGCTTCAGAAAAATTGCAGTCTTCCTTTACAACTGACTTGTATCACCATGAGAGTTGCCTGATAAAACTGGCACTTGAAAAGTTGAACAGAAGACAACAGTTGCTCGACCGTGAAGCTAACTCAAAAGTAATTTGCTAACGGTGGAATTTGTGACATCGCGCTCCAGTCCAAAGACCCTCTTATCTCAAGAAAAACAAAATGGATTGTATCTGCGCCCAAAGAATTATGACTGACTAACAGGAGAATTCTCAGCAATTAATGTAGATGTTTAGGCCAATTCTTTCCTTCGAATTCGCATCTGTAGATCACTCTTTTGCGAGAAAACAATGGCTGGGCTCGGCGTTACAAAACATAGCAGGGAATCATCACACTAACTGACGGACAAAACAACCACAGTATTTATTCAGACAAACGCATTTCGGATAAAAACTTGAAAAACTAGAAATTTGATTAATATTGAGTCATTTAGCCAAAATAAGAACCTTAACGCTCAAAAAAATTGACTAAAGAAAACGAATCCTGTCAGAACTACAGACTGCAGGTAGTAGTTAATCGTTACGCATGTAACAGACCAGCTTAATGAGAGACAAGCAACCAAAATTAAGATTAACATAGTCAGAGTTTAAAACTCTCCACAGTATAATCTACCTGCTAGAAAGAAAAGAAAGAAAATCTCTGAGGGATGAAAACGCTAAAGTCACGTTTCACTAGCTTATGATTTTGTTTGGCCTGTCAGCACCGGATTTCCTGCTGTTTCATGAAGTACAATAGCTGTGTCATTTAGTCGTTGTGATTGGCTCTTCCCACCGTCGGCGCGGGAAGTCTCCCCTGGGGACCGTTCTAATTATAAATCTACTCGGGAAAGGGTTGACTCCAAGGGCTTGTATGGGAGATGGAGGCTCCATTTGATAGGCTCCTGATATGATACAGTCTCCCCAATTAGTAAGGCACTGTGCCTGAGCTATAAGACATGAGACTTAAATAAAGTTCATTATTATTATTATTATTATTATTATTATTACTATCTTGTAATTAACAGCTTTTTCGCTATACAAATTATTTTTAGCAATATCTATTTTGTAGGACGCGATTACGTAACTTTATTTTCGTAGATCATACCTCATTATTCAATACATAATAAATAAATGGAACTTGGGATCCGGATTCCAATCGTTAGTGGGATTCCGTATTCCAAAACCCAGGATTCTGGATTCCTGACTCCCTTCCCTTACATGGGGTGACTTGCATGGTTATTGAAACGGCACGAAACTGATATTTAACTATTATTCCTCGAGCCCGAATGGGCTCTGAGTCAATAGCCTTTGAGGCCGAAAGCCGAATGGGCTATTGACTCAGAGGCCATTCGGGCTCGAGGAATAATTGTTTTAGTAAAATCCAACTAGTTGGTCAAAAATATCGAGACAAAACAACTTTAGCTAGCAAAACGCGATTCAGCCGCTATTGTTTTGGTTTTCAAAGCCGGCGCATTTCGCTACTAGTGGGCTATAACATATAGCCTAGTAGTAGCTCAACCAATCAGAACGCAGCATTCATAATAGACCACAAGTTGGATTTTACGCAAAAGAAATATACTGTTTCTCAGCATGGTAAACTCTGATAGCCGGTATTTTAAAAAAGACATTTTATTGCATGTATAAATATAGCAATTACTTGATGAGGCCGACATGATCTGAACAATTATGCAGATCGAGGGGGGTGTTACCCGCCTCGGCCTTCAGTCGACACCATCCGAGATCTGCAAAATTCTGATCTTATCATGCGATAGCCAAATGTCTCATTATTCGTTTAAAATTATTCATACTTAAAAACTTACCTCGATCGATGTTTTAATGATCGATGTTCCTTGGCAAATTCAGGATTAAAAGGATGTTCTATCTGGCATAAATTCTGTTAATAGCAGTTATCATCCCGTCTTGGTTGAGTACTATTTTTGCTGTTCCTGCTATATATGTTTTCAGGCAAAACCTCGGCTATTTCGTCTTCGTAAAACGTGTTGGATCTTTCCCCATTTTCTTCAACTCTACCAAACCAAATGCGCTAACGCAACCTAGGCCTTCTCGGGTGCCGTTCCTTTCAGCATGTACTATTGACGTCATTTTAACGGATATCGCAAACGACTTCCAAATTTGGTTAACGCTGGCTGGTTATGAGGAATTAGCCAGGGGATTTGCGCCAATCAGCAACGAAGAATGAATATTTTAAAATATGTATCATACAACTACCCTCCGAGGGGGAGCTGAACAGTGGAAGATAAAACCCGAGGAAGCAAAGCATTGAGGTATATATGCTATGAACCGACCCCGTCAGAGATGGACTTTTTCTAGCAAATGTATGGGATGGGTAAATATAAATAAACTCATTTTTTTTGTAAATAAAAGATGCCACTTAGTAAGAGCTTTCTTTACATTTTAATTGAGTGTGTACAAATAATTTTTTTGCTATTTTTTTTTATACAAATACAATTAGATTATTTTTCTGCTTATCATGATCAGTCAACACCAACGAACAAAATTTTTTCGCTTTCTTGCTACTTGTTGGTAGATCTGTTGAATAAGGTCTGGTGGGGGGAGGGGGACCCCGCCTCCCCGCTTTGTTTTCACGAGAATCCCGCGTTCCGTACTACCGTCGACGTCCGTCGCTCCAAGAAGCTGTTGCTTAAGCTCCCTATTGGGGACAGGACAAAGAGAATTAAGCAGGAAACACAGCGAGGGGTGGCACTTCACTATAATCAGAACAAATTTTAGTGAATCCCGCTTACCGGGAAGCAGTCTAATCCCGTATACCCCGTTAACGTTTCCCGAATCCCGGACTGTATTTTGGTGACATCAAGGATCCTCGGAATACCCTTTCCGAACCGGTATGAAAATTACCCCCTTAGGCAGGCACTCAGTAATTTCGAAAGGAAAATCTACCGGCTTGACCTTGGGGTCTCCTTATATTAATTTCGTTCGTGATGGTCGATATTTTCTGAGAGCTCTTTTCCGCACTGTGATTCACAGTAACTGAATATATACCGCAGGGTTTGTTTTGTTTCACGAATGTTAATTTGGATCGGATGATAGACGAAATTACAGCTGAATTTTGAAGGTTGGTACGGATTTTCCGCATTGATTTGGCGTATAATTACCTTACTGAGAAACAAATATTGGGTGGGAATCGGGAGCTTATCCAGACAGGCAGATTACGTTATTGTTTGACCCTTTATCCCTTATCCCAGGGGGGACTCCGCATATGAAAGGGGTGGGGGTGCTCGTCGGAAATTTTGCATTAAACCCCTAAAGGAGACCTATCTGGGCGTGGCCCAAGCTTTTTTTGACCTCTAATTAAAAATAGACCATGTTAAAACGCAGACAATATATATATTTGGATATTTTTTTGCGCGCAACCCTAAACGAGACCTTCACGAATAAATATGATGGCGTTTTGCCCAGAACACCCCAAGTGAGACCAAAATCCGAAATTTACATTCCTGAGGGAGACAACGAGCATCCCCCCCCCTCTCCGGGCCCTTATCTACTCTTCTTTCTAATTATATTTAAGACGATAAGACGACACTTTGAAAAAAGGGGGATACGAGGGCATTTTTTAAAGTTGTATTACTTTGTTACGTACATGTGACACTGGTCATGTCTCGGGTCTTTTTTTAATGTTTAACAGCCCGCTCATTTAACACATCTTTAGATTACTTGTAATAGTTTAGCAAGGTCACGTCAAAATTAGCACTCGGTCACTTATGGCTTCCGTTGTTCAGGGTAAATCGCTAATGGATTACTGTTTAGTATGAAAAATGTGTCGGTTGAGTTTATTTGTGCGGATAGTAATAGCCCCTGCGACGATCACGAACTAAGTTTTTCGTTCTTAAATTAATGGATGCTCATTCCTGTCATTCTAGAGGACATGTCGGGACATAAAACTTCTTCCCAAATCTTGATAAACCTGTGGAGCTATGTGCAGTGGGGCTTACCCCATGACGAAGGGGGAAAAGCCTAAATATCATCTGTTTGTACACTTGCACAGCTGATTTGAAAAGGGTTTCCACAGTTCGCAACAACAGTTGCAGGACAAAATATGTTGACGGTATGGATCTGCTTCGTGTTATTCTCCTCCACAGGTTTGAGCGGTAAGAGCCAGACGAGTACTTGCATTTTTTCTCATTTACTTTTTGAAAGTTTACAGCTGTTACAGCCCTCGCACAATCACGTAACATAACTGAAAGCATACACTGAAATACTACCCTCTCACGCAGACGTTTTTGTACTACAAATGCTACATAATTTTGTTTTTAATGCCCAAACATTATTATACGTAAATAGGAAAAGAACGACTAAAAGTTTCCAGTTCCAATTTATGATAATATCGGAATGGTTCACTCTTACAAACGACCGCGTTGTATTTTGCCCACCGTCCTAACACTGAGAAAAGTTGTTGTCGCGGTCTAGAGATCAGTAATGCCCAGTGAATGCTTATAATTGGTTTATATTAAATTGTACTTTTAAGAGCGCTTAAAATCGAAGCGATAATTGGGAAATTTGTAAATACTTTTGATCACGAGTAACGCATAAGACTATCCTAAAGAACGTTGCGCTCAATTACACAAATGCACTTAAACATGGAAAAAGGATCAGTACATTCTAATAAAAGTTGGCCGTTGAAAATTTTAGACAAAGTGTTACGGTTCAGTCGTATGGGAGAGACAAGAGTTGTGACTTTGCTTTTGTTTTAATCCGTTATGTTTTCGTCTCACTCATTTATTCTTCTGGCAACTCCTCTGTTTCATAAGTTAATTTCTAATATTCGGCAGTCAATTCATTTTCATTTTCTGAACTGACAGTTTTTGAAAGCAACCGATATCGCTTCTTTTAATCCTTGTTCCACACTAATATATATCTACGATGACTCGACTGTCCTTGCAACCCAGTCACTATTTATTCTTTGGTCTATTTATACTCCTCTGACTTGTTTACTAGCACATTTTCCCTTAACTGACTCTGTTTTTTTATTAAACGTGAAGGACAAAAAATAAGAAAACTGTCCTCAAAGTCTGCGGGAATAGCTATAGAATTACTTTGGCGTTTAATATCAACGCATATCTTCATACAATAATTGAAATCAGTCTGTTTGTGAAATTAACATATCCTTTGTCCTCGACGACATATCAAATATTGATGGCGAAATTCGATTACAGTCAATTATTTTATCACCAATGCAATAAATCTTTAGTTAGTTTATTGCTTTGATTTTCGTTTATTTTATGAATAACTTTATGTCAAAGCATCATTGCTTAAGAAACTAACAGGTAGACGTGCTAATAATAGCTATAATTTTATTAATCGTTTTTGGACTCTCACTCATCCCTACCATATCTTATCCTCGCGATGAACAAGAAACTACAGCTCTATGAGCCTTTCTGTGGGTCGAAGTCGCGACGATCGCTATCGAATAAACGACGAACGCATATTGCCTTTGCGATCAAGTTTGACAATGTTAGTCGTGCGATCATGGATGATGGCACAAAGGAATCTGCCAGGATTCTGCTGCACATTCAGAGTTTTTGTTGTGCTTATTAAAGCTGTTGCAGTTTCCTTCTTCGTCCGTCGTGGTTGCTTAACAAGTAAAACAATAAATTCTTTATTCGGAGCGATTTCGTTGAAAAACCGACGATGAATTGATGGGAAACGCGTGAAGAAGACAGCGTCCGTCGGTAACCATAGAGAGGCTCACGAGAAATGATTTAAAACGTTTAACTCGGCAGAAGCGAGCTGGTCGATTTACGTTTCAAGTACGCCAAGAGTATCAAACTCGTGGATAAATGACCACATCTCAGCTTCAGTTGTATTTTCCGCTGCGCTTTCAATTTGTCAAACTTCTAGTTAGCATTGTTATCATGGGGGGACTTTTTTCTTGTTTAGGAAATCGACTTGATTGTAGTATAAACAAAATAAATACATTACATTTAGAGCCATCCTGAGAACACCACAGACAATACGAAGTTTTGAAAGTGTTATCTAAACGTTGGGTATTGTCTGGGTTGCGTGCATGAATGATTATGTTGGCTCAATATATTGCCGGGAGGTCCACTTTTAATAGTAATAATTGTTACACATAATTTTCATGTCATCACTGTCATGGAACCCGGCATGACAACCAAATTATCGGTTTGCATTCACTAAAGAAAAAGAAAAACACGATCATTCATCAGTGACATTGTTAAAAAACATTGCAAAAAGTAACAAAACTTAAAATTTAACCACGAGTCTATAACTAAATGATAATAAAAATTGATTACCACGCAGATTTGATTCGGAGTTTCACCTGATATTGTTGAAGAAAATGAACATTCTTTGTTTGGCTTTCGATTTCCCTTTGCGTCATTTCTCTTTTCACTTTAATTTTAGCTTCCAATAGTTCTCGTTTTTCTCTGATTAACTAAGAGCTAAAAATATTTCACGGGGAATGTTATATTGCCGCTGTGTTGCATCATCTTAACGTAAGACCTTCAGTCATTGTCTGAAGTCTTCACGAAGTGTTTCAGTTGGTTCTGAGATTAGAGACGTTTGTCACCTGTATCCGTAAAATATGTCGACAGCCAGGTCATTCGCGCTTATACTTGTTGTCATAGCTTTCAAAGGTAAGTACATCCTACTACTATTGAGTCTTAAAAACGTAGGCGTTTGTTTTCACAGCACAAATCAAAATTCAAACTCGTGGTTGTTTCTTTAATAAAACATGCAGTAGTCAACGTGAAAGTCGGTAGTCTTTGACAAAACTGCAGCCCGGTAATTGCTGTAAACTTACAGAGCTGGGTAGAGACCGAAATTCCATTATAAAAAGTTCTGATAACGAAGCAGTAGTCTTAACCAACTATCAAGGAAACTCAAAAGAAGTCTGGGACCCTGACCGGTTTAAAAGCCATACAGATCTATTTTATTCAGGCACCTGCTATTGTCTTGCGGAGATAATCTCGAGTGCCGTGCGGTTTTTGCAAAAATAAAAAAGATAACACAGAATACATTTGATCAAGATCGTTATATCCCATGTTTTTAACTTAAAGTGGAATCGATAACATTTCGATACCAATGATTGTTTAACAAGCGAATACACCAAGGGTCAATCCAAAATCCCCCTCTGGCAATTGTTTTGAAACGGAAATAATTTACCTCTTGTAAGTAGATAAGTATCTCTATAAATGCCATCATCATTATGTCTTCTTTGCAATCGTTTATTTTGGTGTTGTTTTCAATATCAACTTTTTCAGACAATTTCGACTCAACCTGCGTCATCGACAAAAACAAACAATACAATAACATGAAAAACATCGACATCAAATCGGAATAACTAGATTAAAAGCGTTTGTTCGTTCGTTTATTTATTTATTCATTCATCCATTCATTCACTTATTGACCTTCGTTCACAGTTAAGGTTAAACGACACTCTTAACGGTTTGGGCTAAAAAGAGTATAAAAGCTATAGGTCAAGCTTTAGCCAGATTTAGTTACTTGACCAGATTGGAAATTAACATCTGTCTATTATCTTTTCTTTAAATTACAAATTATTTCGTTTCCCTGCCTTTTTTTTCTTTAGGTGCTCGTGCTGAAGACGTGAATGTTTGTCCAAAAGAAAGGGTCGAATTGTATTGTCCTCCTCTTGAGCCAGCCATCCGGAGCGGAGATTACAGAGAACTCATCTGGAAAGTCGCCGACCCTCGTGACAAATCTGAACAAGAAATAGGTTATTGTAATGAAAAACTCAGCTGTACCCGATATAATTCTCTGGGAAACTTTCAGAAACGTATCAAGATCAGAAATGGTCCCGTAAATGGGACATTGCACGTGGAGCAGTTGATCAAGGATGACTTACTGACATTTACGTGCTCTGTGCAAAGAAAACCGAACAAACGCCCACTTGTTTACCAAGAAAATGTGTCCTCTTCCGTGAATTGTAAGTAGAATTTGATGGATATTTTGTTTTTATTTTTATCCCTCAGTTAGTGCGCGAACTGTGATTGGTTAGCGGTTTAGCGGGCCGGATAAATCACTGTAATATACCGTAAAATTCCGAAAATAAGCCCCTCCATGTATAAGCCCCCTCCAAATATAAGCCCCCCATTTTCGTAACGCAAAAAACCCTCAGTTAAATCGCCCCTCCAAATATAAGCCCCCCGGCGGCTTGTACATGGAAAATTGCCCTCAAATACAAGGTAAAACAAAGCAAAAATAATTTACTTCTAACTATAAGGTTAGCCCAATCGATTTTGAAACGCAAATTTCCCTCCGTAGATAAGCCCCTCCGAATATAAGCCCCTCCAAAAATAAGCCCCTCAAAAATACCCTTTGAAAAATATAAGCCCGGGGCTTATTTTCGGAATTTTACAGTATACGGGCCGAAAATTTAAAGGTTTGCTTTCAGTTTGGTTGCAATTTGTGATATTTGGACTATAATTAGTATTATAAGGGTTAAAGGAATGTTTTTGACGACTCAAAGTCACGATTTTGGACGCTCCTGTTTATGAGTTGACGCACTTAGATCATTAACAGCCGTCCTGCTTGAATTGAAAGATATATTCTACTTTTCTCGATCTGTACTGAAAGTTACGGAACCTTGGGCCATTAATCCGAGCGGAAATACAACATCTTGCTCTGATTGGCTGATAGTCACTATAGTTCCAAACGTATTAAAATCGTTTTCAGCTCTGCATTCGAAATGTTTTTCATCGATGGAAACTTTCTCTTCCCGAAGGATCGACAACAGGAAACAAGATTGCACTCGAGATTTTGAAAGAGGTTGCGTTTGCAGGCTGTAAATTTCAAGCCAAATTCTGCAATTTTGTTGGCCCTTTTTGATTCAAACACCCACTTGAGAAAAAGCTCCCATGTTGCCGTGCGACTGTTCAGAAATAGATCAAAATAGATCACAAATAACGTCAAAATGTGGTACGAACATGGAACACGAGGCACAGGCGAGTGTGGAATCCCTGCTAAATGGGCATGTGGGCCTGTGGTCCAAGTGAGCAAAGGCTGTTAAAATGCATGAACGTTTTCGTACATTGATCAAGGCTTTATTTTCATCTCTTCAGGCCTGACTTTAATTGCAAATCAAGCTTTTAACCTCAGCGGGGCACTAGGTAAAATGGTCTCCATTGGTAACATTCAAGACATGTGGTGGTACTGGATCAAACGCGATCGAAAAATGCAGAAGATTGCATATTGTAATTCCGAGTCGTGCGTGTTCGACGAGTGTAACAGTACCTGTCAATCAAGGCTCAGGATTGACGGAGCGACACTGGAATTGACGGAAGTTAGGGAAGAAGACCGTGGTTTGCAATTACAATGCCAAATATTTCCCAAATTCCAGGTGTACAAGATGAAAATCAGTGTTGTACTGCCAAAAGGTCAGTCCAACTTACATCACAGATCGCGAGTAAATCCTTTAAGAGGGAGGTCTTGTTGTTAGGGTTTAATTGAGAAGGAAAGAAATTAGGGTAGAAAAGGTATACAAATAAACCGGTTAGTCAGCTAATGAGCTTAAATTAAGGCATCCTGTTTTGATGGTAGACTATCTGGTATATTTGTCTACTAATTATTCTCTTCCTGTTTTAATTTTCAACAACCCCCAAATCCAGTATTTTCCATTTTCTATAGTTTTAATCATTCCCCCATTTCTATCGATTTCATCTGGATGGGCATTCATCGCTGAACTAAATATTTCTTTTTTTTATTGACCTAGACTCTGTTAGCAGCACAAGTAGTACTCATGGCAAGAATGAAAAGGCGCCTCCTAACAACGCTGAGACGACTTCCGAAACATCAAGAAAGAGCAAAGCTGGGACCTATGGTACACAAAACTCGGCAAGCAGCAGGACCTTATTAGCGTTTTTGTCAATTCTGATCACTTCATTTGGAGTTTAGCAGTTTTAGAAATTTCTTGGCAAATTTATCTCTTTTGGATTCCTTGTAGCTGCTCTCGAATTCTCACAAAATATTCGATCATATAATGCGCTAGGAAAAACTATAACGTTATCTATTCATTAGAATAAAGTGACGGGCGGATTGAGTCCAGTAAACGTGAATAGAAAAGGCATTAAGGAAGGGGCTATTGGAAGTTATTCAGAAAACTATTAAACAGGAATCCGATAACCCATCATTTTATAGGAAGTGCAATTTTCTTGGCAGAATTGCAATCTAGGCGACTTCTTCGATTCCAGTTACTTAAAAAATCCAGTTTTCGTTTTAAGAACGACGAGAAAGGACCTGGGCTATTTAATTTCTGACCTTATGCTTCCAAAAAGTACAAAACAGCCTGGCGGGCCCAAAAACGATTTTACGTCTGACAAAATACGTTTATAGTGTGTTTATAGTGTGTTTATAAGAACACATTAGGAAGGCAAAAACTCAGAAATACTAATGACAAAAATTCCTTTATTCAGACAAGAGAACTCCTCTCAATGGGTTAAAATATATTTAAAATAAAGTATGCTAAGCGGATGTGTAATATATTTATAAGCGTAAGCTAAGCTTTTTGAAAGCAGTAATATTATATACTTAACTAATGGTGAACGTTATCTTGTGAAATTATACCTGAAGCTTTATAAGTTAAATACAACGTTAGTCTTGTAGATGTATTTTTGACAATAAATGATGATTACAATCTATGAAAATAGTTTTGAATAAAGACTTTATATCAGAGTCATAACAATGACTTTATACCTGTAAGTAATTTACAAATATTTCGTGGCCTCCTAGAAAAATGGTTTTGCTTACATAAGTTATACGTCAAGCAACTAAAGCTTACAAAACTGTAAATGCCGCAAGGAACTGCGCTCAGGCACTAATTCAATTAGATTAGTGGCCCCGACCGAAAACGGCACTTTCCAAGATCTTAGGCGTTGAAGCTATTTAACAATCTACCAGAAACTATTAGAAGCTGTAAAGATTAAATAACCTTTTTAAGATTTTCAAGGCATTTTTATGTAACAGAGTACAGTGTAATTAGCTAGTTTTTCTGTAATTTCGGTTCTGTTCTATCTTGCTTCTACTTTTAACTGCAGTATTGCATAATTTGTAAATAACTCAATTTGATTTATTTTTAATTGTAATTGATGTACTTTAAAAGGGAAGAGCCACCCAGTGGATCTGTTAATAAACTATTATTATTATCAAGTATTATTATTGGATGTAAGAAAGGAAAAGCCCCACAATTAAAGACTAAAAAACATTTTAGCATTGACGGCAAGAAGTTTCTTTTTCTGATTGGTGAGAAACCTACTTCGATCTACTGTCCTGGACGACTGATCATGCACTAAACTTTTCGTCCTGAATTTCGCATGTGTTTCGCTGATACGTGCGAAAGTTCGTGACATCATGCACGTGCTCGTTGAAGCCCTTGATATTTAGTATTCATAAATCGTACCTTTCAGTAAAGCGAAATTGTAATTAATTCAAAGACATGAGTTGTAACTTGCAACAGTAGATTCGTCGTGGAAAAGAGTGGAGAGTGGATTACAAGAGTGGATTTGAGAGGACTCAATGGATCGAATATTCGCGGCTGTAGGACACAAATGCTACCGGGTACTTATCGAGGAACATTGATCTGACATTCGTTATATTATTTTATTTATGCGTTCTCGTGGTGATATTTGTACTTTAATTCTACTTTAGGTTTCGAAGGCGTTGTAATGCATCTTTGAGAACGGTAATGAACATAGTGGATTGCAGCTAGCGAAACATTCGAAACCCGAAGCGTGACATCAATGATGGCTGATCAAGACGCCAAAAACCAGAGACGCGCTGCGAAAGGACGATTTACAAGAAAGCTAGCTGAGTTAACGAAGTCGATCGAGGAGGACAAAGGATCAGAAATAGTGGTAGTGAACTTCGAGCAGCTGAACGAGGCATGGAGAAATGTGGAAGCCAAGCATGATATGCACACAACATTTTTAAAGGATAGCGAAGTAGAAGAAAGCGAAGCGTGGATAGCAGAGTTAATTACAGAGTTCATTTAGCGAAGCTATGGAGAAACAGGTTGAATACATCGGCTCAAAGGCAGCTAAAGCGATGGTAGAGAAACAGGTACTCAGTCAGCAAGAGGCGGCTAAAAAAGACTACGAAAAAACTCAAAAGTTAATCGATCAAGCTTTCATAAAGCGAGACACGGAGGAAGCAGTTTTTAGAGCGCTGTCAGAGGACGCTTTTAAATTGTTGGAAGCGTGCGAAGCCGACAAGGATGTAGTTCCTGCTCTCAGGAAAGTTCAGCAGGCGTTAGAAGCTTCGTTAGCTGGTTGCAAAGTGGCGAATGACAAATATTTGGAATTTTTGAGCAGAGAAGAGGTCTCAACTGAGGTGGGATGGATTTTGGTCGTCCAGAAACGATACAATCAAGTTGTGGACAGGATTGAATCAGTCATTGCCAATCAAACAAAGGTGGAAGTGGGCCTGAAGAATCTTGAAGCGAAAGCTACTAACCTTCGCCTTGAAAAAATAAAGATGCCCCGGTTTAGCGGAGAGCTGAGAGAGTATCCGAGGTTTAGAAAAGACTTTGAAATTCAAGTTATGCCAAGTTTAAACAGCAGCACTGCGCCTTACACTTTACGTTTCTGCCTTTGCGAGGGGCCACTGGCGGTCGTGAGGGGGGTCGACGATGACATTGATGAAATGTGGCGACGCTTGGACAAGAAGTATGGTGATCCAGCCAAGATAACAGATGTGATTATTAATAGCATACAGCGAGTTAAAGCCATCAAAGAGGGAGAAGATAAGAGATTCGTCGAGTTTGTCGAAGTTATTGAAAGTGGTTATCGAGACTTGTTGAGGCTCGGACTAGAGAAAGAGATAACAACCACAAGCTCCGTAAGCATAATTGAAAAAAGGCTACCAGCTGATATTAGAAGAGAATGGGCGAGGCTCGTCAGCTCAGACTCGAGTAGCGTCGATAAGAAAAACAAATTTCCAGGCCTCCTCAAGTTTCTGCTCAACCAGAAAAGGGCAATCGAGTATGATTTATCAGATCTGCGAGCGTCCGGAAGTCTCGGAAGTCAAGCTGGCCAACAAGTCTGTTCATTGTGCTGATGCAGTGGCTGAAGATCTTAAAGAAAACAAGCAGCAGCCTTTTGAAAGCAAGAGTAGCAGTGCGTGCCTGTTTCACAATAGTGCCAGCCACGGAACCGATGAATGCCAGTTATACCTATCCAAGACTCGTGGTGAGCGAATGGACATGCTTAGAGAAAGGGGTGCATGCTGGTCCTGTTTGAAGATTGGACATCGTCTACGTGATTGCAGAAGCAGGAAAGCTTGTGGTGAAAATGGTTGCACAAGGACGCATCACAGAACATTACACGAGGAAAATCGGGAAGCCAGCGTTTCTGTAACAGCAAGTTCTTGCGGTGATCCTTTGAGCGACACATGTCTTCTTCTACTTCAAAGAGTTAGAACAGGAAAAGGCTGGGCCAACGTTATGTGGGACAATGCAGCATCATTAAGTTTCATCACCAACAGCAAGGCCAAAGCGGAAATGTTACACGGCACGAGAGTAGAAATATCTATCGTCAAAGTTGGAGGCACGAGTGAAACAATTATGTCTAACAGGTACCTTCTCCCGCTGATCGACTCTCAGGGACAAGTCGTACCTTTCGAAGTTTATGGTATTGATGTAATAACGGCGGACATTCAAAGTGTGAGCGTCAATAATGTAGTACATCTTTTTAAGGATGTTACACTGGAAGAGATAAGAAGACCAACCGGTAGTGTGGACGTGCTAATAGGATATGGATACGCTGGCTACCACCCTGTACCAGAACAAAAATCGGGTCATTTGCTGTTGCTGAGAAACCGATTCAGAAGATGCCTCGGCGGCACTCACGCGGAGTTAAAGGATGCAAATCACGCAATGCAGAATGCCCTCGTGCACCACGTAGCCGAAGTAAAGATCGAAGACTTCTACAATATCGAGAACCTGGGGGTGGAGTGTACGCCTCGCTGTGGGGGTTGCAAGTGTGGAAAATGTCCGCTCGGCGCGAAGAATTACAGTCTAAAGGAAGAGAAAGAGCTACAATTGATTGAGAGAAATCTGCACTTCAGTAATCGTGAGCATAGATGGATGACTCAATATCCATGGATAAGAGACCCGGCTGATCTTCCAGACAATAGAAAGGCCGCATTCGGAATGCTATTGTCTACGGAAAAGAGACTCGCCAAGAATACTGACCACGCAAGAGTATATCAAGAGCAGGTACAAGATATGATAGACAGGGGCGTTGCCCGAAAGCTAACGAAGAGCGAATTAGAAGCCTACGATGGGCCCATTCATTATGTTTCGCATCATGAAGTTGTACGTCCAGATTCAAAGTCCACGCCAGTACGAATAGTCTTTAACACCAGTGCCAAATACATGGGTCACGCGTTGAATGAATATTGGGCCAAGGGACCGGACCTTCTGAACAGCCTTCTGGGTGTGCTGATAAGGTTTAGAGAGAATGAGGTGGCGTTAATTGGCGATATAAAGAAAATGTACCATTCCGTGGGAACCACCCAACTCGAACAGCACACGCATCGGTTTCTATGGAGAGACATGGACGCCAGGAAAGAGCCAGACACTTACGTCATACAGAGAGTCTCATTTGGCGATAGACCGTCGGGAACCATCGCAACAGTAGCATTGAGAAAAACGGCCGAAATGGCGCAAGAGAAGTACCCTCAAGAGGCCAAAATCATTAGAGACAACACCTACATGGACGACATCATTGAGAGTGTTGGTGGTAGGGAGAGAGCCGAAAGCGTAACACGGAACATAGAGAAGCTGGTCGACATAGGGGGATTCAAGATTAAAGGCTGGACCATCTCGGGCAGCTCTGACAGCCGAAATGAGAAGGAGATACCCAGTGAAACGTATGCACCCGCAGAGAAAGTCTTGGGAG